TTGATTTTGGAGTTATTACAAGAGATCGAAACGAAGTAGTGGTTATTCACGAGATTGGAAGTATTGGTCAAGTTAGAACCACATCTGATTTAAACAAGAAATATTTCCTTCTACGATGCAGTAACCACTGCCTTATAGCGAAGGTATTGAAAAGCTGCAAATACAGCGGACATTACAAACCAGAAACGTTCTGCTTGTGCAAATGATTTAAAGCGATGACGGCAAATTGCATGCAAAGAAACAGCAAGACGTTGGCGACTGTTAGGTATTCAGAGGCCTCAATAAATTTGTTCTCTTCTTTGATATCTTCATACCCTTGGAATAGTTAGCTTTCAAGAGAATACAATTGGAAATGTGTTTTATTTTCATTTTTAATGATACAGCATGTCTGGTGGCAGTTTTATTTTTGTTTACAGAGTTTTTGTTCTTTCAACGATATACGGCTCTGCGAATTTCTCTGTAACATGCAACATTTAGGGTGGCGGTGGCTGCCTGACGCAAGAAAAGATTGTTGCCAGCTGTGCGAAAGAATTCTACATCATCGCTGACTACAGAAAAATCTCTGCTGTTCTTGGACAGTTGTGGTCATACATTCCATTGGAAGTGGTTCCTGTTGCTTATCCGGTGGTTATGAGGAAAGTTCAGGAGGTGGAAGGCGGAAAATGTGCTTTGAGAATGGCCGTGAAGAAGGCTGGCCCTGTGGTGACTGACAACGGAAATTTTATTGTTGATTGGACGTTTCAGAGCCCTTTACTGCCTCCGTTATTAGACGCTTTGAATATCCGCTTAAAAATGATCCCAGGGGTTGTTGAAACAGGCTTATTCTTAAATATGGCAAAAAGAGGATATTTTGGAATGCTTGACGGTACGATAGCTACAGTTGACTCCAAGTCAAACCAACACTGACTGGTCGATTACGTAAGAAGAAGAAAGACCAGTAAAGAAAGAAACTTTGCCCGCATCAAGCGAAATGTCAGAGTCGAATCTTAAGATATATCTAAGGGTCGATGGACATGAAGATCGATAACACTATTTTTATAATTCGTAACCAGAGTTTGGCTAAGTTTTCGCAGGTACTTTTTTTACATGTTTGTCTGTTTATGCAGCATATAATTCTGTTGTCCTCATAAGTTTCTTATTGCTAATCTGGCCCATTGCAAAACACTGCTCAAATGTTGATTTGGCTGGATTCTAACTAAAGGCAAATTACAACTACATTTTTTGCGTAACGGGTGCATAGGAGTTTTTTGGTGGTACGTCACCGTAGAAGCTGAAGCACGACCCTGCACTACTCATCTTTTAACCCTAACGACTTCTACACTCCTCTGCTACTAAAGTAACCGCAGGCAATATGCCTGCACTAAGGTACGCAATGGGTTAATTCGAAAGTCGAAAAGGTACAACCCCAGCAAGTATCTCACAAACATACGGCATCTCTTATCTGTAGCAATATCCATATTAATAGAACTTTCAGTCGTTCACTTCTTACTTCGCGTATAAAGCAATTTAGTCGGAGAAAAACGATCACTCAATATTTCGTCCATCTAATAGAAACTATATCAGTACGAAAGGTCTTCATTGGCAGTAACAGAAATGGCACTGATCTTAGAAATCCAACACGATGGGAAACGGAAATCTGTTGTGAAATATCAGCTGTTTGGTGAATATATAAAGGGATATATACGAAAAGCTATATTACGAGAATAAATGGTCAGACGGAATCCATTCACTGTATACGTCCATCCGCTGTTCTAGGTTGAACTCGAACTTTAATACAGACCTTGCCGGCGCAGTTTATAATTTTTGAGGACAATTACTGGGCATGCTGCTTTACTCAATAAGTCAGATACCCTGTAAATACATGAAATGCATAGAATTTCCGACGAACAGTGTAGATGAGAAGAAGAAAGAGTTCTAGTTGTCTGCGCACAAATACCTGAATCACCCATTTTGACGGCACAATCATGTTCTAGATGTGATAACGGCTGAAACAGTTTTTGCATCATCCAAAGTTTAAAATTCTTTCCACCGGTTAGAATGATGATATAAACTACATGACTCACATATGATGATCTTGGAGCAGGTGGTTCTCTGAATTAGCTTGTCAATCTCACCCTTTTTCGTATTCTGTACTTCTATATCGGACTCTCAAATACTGTTATACTGTTCTGTGCCTCTGCACATTTACAACCCTGCTAAGTTGCATCCCTCTCAGAACCCGAGCCAGGAATCCGGTTCCGGTAAGGCGCGGCATAGAAACGGAAAGACTGATACATAATGCTGCGTTGCACGTAGATTGCCACCATATAGTAAGTTCACGAAAAAACCAGTTCTTTGTGGATCTTGCTCTGATTTGATCAGTGGCCGCGCACTCCTCAGTCTGATTTGTTTTATTTATAAATGAAATATACATCATCTTCCATCGCCACTTCTCCTTTCGGGTGGCAGAGCCAGACGCGTCAGACAGAGCTTCCAACGTTACCGATTCTCTACCGGAGTCTGAGCTTCTGCAGCAGACAACTGAAGTCTGGAACAGACTACTTCCATATATTTGCACCTGGTTAATCTTGGCTTCTCTTCGACCTTCACCGGTCTGTTTCACAAGAAAGAGTTGCTTAGTCTTCCATTCTGGAGGCATTCGGAACACTTGCCCAAACCATCGCAGATGTCAATTCTCAATCTAGAGAACTAAAGGCTGTACACCACGGCTCTTTCGGTTGTCAGTATCCCGGAA